ATATCAAATCAAATTCTGGAGCACACGATAATTCGAATATATTTCCGAATTCTTCTTCGAATTTTTTTTATCAAATCCTTTATAGCATAGAAATTAAGATATTTTTTTAAAGCTTTTTTTAGCTTAGCATTCGAAGCAGCATTTAAACATCGTGCCAAAAAAAATCGAAAAACAAAAGAAAGAAGAAAAATCATAGTTCTTCTTCGATTTTGAAAGTATAAAAATTTCTACGGGGTCCACATTATGTCAATGAAAAAGAAATTATACAACTGTTTAGAGAACGTTATAAATTGCTCGACAATGTTTCAGTGAATTGTGTTCGCGAATTATCTTTAATGCCTTTAAGAACGTCCTGAGTCCTGGAATATATTCCATGTTACAATGTGTTGTCAATAGCAATAGAATTGATTCAATTCTCGTTTTTGATACTTTTTATGTAACAATTGTTCGATAATATCAAGTATGGATCACAAGAAAACAAAAGCGAAATTTGACACAAAGAAATATTTGTTATGTTTAATATTTTAAAAAGTATATAATATATAGGTTATAAAATACTTCGTGTGTACTACATGTACAGTACAATTTTGAAATTTTCATCATTAAAGAAAACGATACGTACATTTGACAAGACAAAAAAATAGTTGAAAAGTAAATGTTTTGTATGTATTTCCAAAGTTCCTTAGAGAAATAGATAACATATAGTTGAGGTTAGCTTAATTAGTACAGAGTATTAATATAGTTAAATCAATGCGAGGATTATTTTATTTGTATTGTATCTCACCACACGTATTATGGCATATTTTGCAATAATTTATTTTTATAGATAGATAACAGCGCATGAGAATGTTTCACATCAAGTATGAAACATAAATTTATGGAATATAATCAACACTATTATCGATGTAACGATTTTTAATCACATGAACAAATTTATTTGCGTGATAACTAAATTTTTAGAGATTTCGTTCGTATAGTTGCAATATGTACGTTCCCATTGCTATCAATTGACTGAAGTTATCTTTATAAGATAAAGTAAATAAAATGAATAAAATTTTTTTAAAAATCGTAAATATATGAAATTTAAAACTTGAAAAAAGAAATTACTATTGATATTATTGATATAAAGTGGTAGCAGTGATAACGTAAAAAGTTAAACGAAATTAGAATCTCGTCTATCAAAATTTTAAATATTTAAACTTTAATATTATTGCAAAACTACTGTTATCGATCGAGATTTTTGAATATTTGTAATCTTTATTTCCAGATAATAACGATTTGTCGTTCTCAATGCAAGTAGAGAATCGCATCGTATTTACAGGTAAAAGCAAATAAAAAAAAATAAAGCTATCGTCAAATGATTCATATATGCTCTTTTAGAATTTCAAGAGCAATCGTTTTTATTTTTTCTTTTCCAATATATATAAATCCAACATGATTATACTATAATATAGTATACGTATTCGTATCGTTATTGTACCGTGCAATTCGAATGATATTTGACGAGTTATATCTGATATAAATATATTCGTCAAGACGCGACAATAGTAACACTAATTAAACATATATATTCGAGCATCGAAGAAATATATAAGTATACATATTGACAGACTCTTTCTATGGTTTTTCGAGCGTGAATATAATAGAGGAGAAGGTTGTAACAGAAGAAAGAATTTATATAGATTATTATATCTGTACTTTATTGTGTCATAGTAGACGTGTTTCTTGCGGCCACGTCCATCGATGGAATAAACATTGACGTAAATAAATAAAACAGATATAGAAAATATAATGGTACTTTGGTAAATTTCTATTCGAAATTAAGATTCGTTAATGATTGCATGGAAAACGATGCTTTTATATTTCCTGCGATATTTCGATAATGAAATTACAAAAGTTGTATTTTTCGTATAAAAAATATAAAATATAAAATCGATATATCTCAAGGAAACAAGGAATCAAAAAAGATTACAATTATAATCGAAGATTTCTGTTCACAAATTTTAATTACAACAACTTAATCATCGTTATTATTCTTATATTTACAGAAATGTATTTACACGCTTTGTATACATGAATCATTTCTAGCGGCGTGTATACACATGATTTCACATTAAAATTTGCTCATTTTATAATAAGAAATCTTTCTAAAGAGATCATACAGTGAGAAAAATGTTTGGTAATTTTTGAACATATGTACATTATTATTCAAAAGTTTGGAATTCTCTTTTAATCTATTAGAAATTTATAAAAATTTGACAACCTAAGATAAAATGTCTGTTTTTTTTCAAATTAAATTAAATTAAGTAACATTATTAAATATTAATTAATTGATCCAAACTTTTGAACAGTATAATAATATATTAATACGCAGACAATTTTACTTTAAAAATGAAAGAGTTCTCCAGATTTCTTAACAAATAAAATTCGCATAATATTAAAGAGATCTTTGAATATATAAATATACTTAAATTCTAAGTGTACATTACATCATTCAGGGATATACAATCAGGATGCTCTTAATTATCTCAACTTGCTGAATGCATAAATGGTATTTTTGGATCTTGAAAAAAAAAAAGCTTTTTTCAGATTTCGTTTCTTCTAGCCATCATATACCGTCCGAATCGTTGAAACATTTTGTAACAGCATAACAAAGTATTATATTATAAATAATCATTGACATCAAAGATGAGATACACATATTATTCAATGAAACGCAGTGTTTACAACATAATATACATCATAATATATAAAATTCAACTCTAATAATTAAAATAAAATTCATATTAATTTCGTATATTACATTTTATTGACTACTTAGCAACTAACTGACTAGTAATCGGTTCAAGCCGATCGGTTCTCCTTTCCACTTCGAAGAATTATACATACTGGTAATCATATACGAGAAGGAAAAAAAAAAAAAAACAATAAGAAAGTTGAAAAAAAATGAGCACCAGAGTTGAGTACCAAGTAGTCGTAATTAGATTATAACTTGACGCACGAAGATCAATCGTCAAGTTTCAATCGTCCACGACAAAGAAGAATTTCCTTCTTGTACAATTCCTTCTACTTCAATAGAAAAAAATCGCTTGTTTAATAGAAAAACGTAGACGTATCTGTTCACATTGAACACATAATAATTCTCTTCGGAAAAAAATTCTTCATAAATTGTCTCCGTGTGAAACGGAAGCAAAATATGCGTAACTAAAAATTGCCTCTTGATAACCCAGCGATCAAAGAACCTTTTCACATTCAGAACCTTTCCAAAGAATTCAATTCTTCATTAAGAATGGCCGCTTCAGCGTCCTTCTCTAGCAATTCCTTTCCATCGTCCAACTGGTCTTGTCCAGCAGGATCGTTTACCAAGATGCTCTCTTCTCCAGTTTCCAACGCATCTTCCGGAGCCAGGAACAAATTTGTCCGCCCTTTGCATTTTCTCTGGTAATCAGGATTGTCCGGGGCCGGCCTGTGACAAGAATCGCAGACGGTGTCCGTTTTCGAGGTGCAGGGATGCGCCTCGTAGAGACCCGGCCCACATCTAGAACAGATCCAGCAAGGCTGGATGCTGTGGTGAGGGCTGTACGTGCCCGGCGCGCATTTTCCACATTCGGTGTCACGGCCACGAACGCAACGGTTCACGACACCCCATCCTGGACCGCATCTGCTGCAATGACTGCCGCCCTTCTGATGCCTGATACGTGGTCTCGCTTCGTTCACCTGGAACAACGACAAACGCGACTGGTCAGAGAGAATTCGATGATCAACACTGGCTCACGTTGCCCCTGATTGTTGTACATCGAGCTTTCTTCGACATTTTTCGAATTTTTGAGATTTTTTTTTTTTAACCGTTTAGAAGACAGGATAGACGGTTTCAATTTCGAGAGGATGAAAGGGTACTTTCGAGAAACGTGATAGCGATTTACTTAGAAGAGAAATTATGAAGTCTGGTCGATGAAAAAAGTGTTTAACGAGAAATCGTTAAGGAAACCGGTTTCGAAAAAATTGGTAGCGGCAGATGTAACAGAATTTGTAATTAATTTTAAAACCACGCTTAAATTATGTCAATTTTTTTTCTTCTGCAAGAATATAATTGTATTATTTATTTGTATATTTTTTATATCACGGTTTTACTTGCCACGCGTACATTTTACAAAATCCTAATTAATTTTAAAAATTATTATCGTATATGTAATTTAATATTAAATTCTTAAATTATTAAAAAAGCGAAACATTATTATAACACACATATATGTATTTATTTACGGTAGTTAAACAAAAATTGCAATTTAATTAATATATGTTCTAGTATTATTTTCAATAAGTATGTGTTTTCAATATGTTTGTTCACTTTTGTACTATTCATTTCCTATTTTGTATTTCAATACGTGAATATATTATCTAAATATGATAAAAGCAACAAAGTGGATAAATTAATTAAAATAAATAAATTTTTAAACTATGTATATAACGTTAAAGTTATTAGTTTTCAATTGAATAATCGAATATCGTATATGATATGTAGAGTTGGAAATCATTTTGTTCTAAATTTACGGCATAGCATCAAGGAACAGGTGCCTAAGGATAAAACCACCTGACTATGGGAACACCTTGCGCCTTTCTTTTGTAATCTCTCAAACATCGATCGAGATACAACAGGAAAGCGTATAATCAACTTGCTAAGAATTTTTTATAATTTTACCATTAGTTTTATCTATATCTTCATGAATTTTTATAAACGACCGTTTGATATTTTTTCAGATGTAAATAACGATCTCCAAGAATATTCTTTCGAATATTTTCTTTTGAATATTCAAGCTTTAATAATATCTTTTTTTTTTTTCAGAATTAATTTTGTTATGATACGTGAAGTTTCGTGTCTTTAAATAATCAGGTTAGGTTAATAATAAGAATAATTCTATGGTTAAGATATTTTTAACATTACATAGAAACAGAAAAAATCTTTTATTCTATTAAACAATTAAAATTATTTCGAGTTAATCAAAATTATTATAATTCCAATTAATTTTTATTTTTTGAAGAGTATCCGTCTTTTACAACAATGTTCTATCATGATATTAATACGTTTGTTGTACCATATCTACAGTAGTCCACATCGTTTGAAATTAATGAAGATAGAGGGCACGAAGAACGTCGTTTGTAATGAAAAGAACGATTCGGTCCAGTGGTATAGTTTCGTCGCAGCTGACAGCTGTCGCTGTTTGTTGGCACGCGCCAACAGTCACCAAGCCATCAGGTGCATCATTGCACCGGGCTCCATTCATTTGTGAAACTCTTTTTTTATCTTTTCTTTTCTTTTATTTCGTTGCCTTATTTTCTCCTTAGCGACAACACCAAGTAAATTTGATCGAGATGAAGTAATGTCACTTGCTCGAAATACGTTATAAAAGTTTTTAGATTAAAATTTTAAGGTTATAGAAATTTTATAAGTTTTTAAAAACAATAATTGAATATTAATTTAATAATGAATTTTTTAATATTAAGAATAAATTAATATTAAAAATAAGTTTTTTTAATAATATCGAATTCTTTCATTTAATTATCTTTTTCATTTATTTTTCTTCCTCTCAGCGAACATTATCTTTCACGAATAACTATCATACGAGTTCCTTAATTAAAGGTAATATTATCTTCGAAGCTTTGCTCTTTCTATGTAAAAATCTTGATTAATATGAATAAACATTTTCAAAATCATTAGAAAAACAACGTAAAATCTACATAATTGTAATTAAAGCTTTAAATTCTTTTTCATATTTTAAATATTTTCATAAAAATTATGATTCTGACATATTGTCGAATTCATTAGTATCAACAAAAATGAAACTACAAAAAAACTTATTCTTTTAAAGTTTAGATTTCTTTGTCTCTCCTTTGATTATATTTATTAATATAATACATAAATATTATAAAAATATTAATTTATACATAGAAAATGTTGCATTAATTCGATTTAAAAGTAACTTGAGAAAAATAACGAAAAATATAAAAATTTAATTGTGTATATATATATAGATGAAGAAGAAAAAAGACTCAAGTAGCAGACTACTTACGAATTTGTAAGTCATTTTATCGGTCGTGTAATACGAGCACGATCATCACGTAAGGATGCACCCTGTCAATTTGCGAGCACAACACAAGTCCCATGAAAGGGGTTAATAATAGTGATCTTTTCAGGGCCGTGTTGCCGTGGACAAATTATCTGACCAGTTCATTACACATGCGACATATGCTGTTCCTTAAAGTAACCTAAAGTTCGAGCTGCTCGGAGTCAGTTGGCATTTGAGGTTAGTATTTCTTTTTACATATATTTTGATATCAATATGACTAATGATATTTAACGTAGTAGAAATTCAATCACCGCAAAAAAAAAAAAAATTCGAATGTTGAGTTGCATAAGGATTTCATTTTTTATTGATGGCCAAGAAAAGTTAGGTTAACTTTCGAGTAATCGGCAATCAATGATTTGAATTTTTTTGAACACGATTTTACTTTTTCTTTTACGACAAACTTTCCTCTTGTACGACTTATAAACAATAGTTAAAGATCCTTCTTGGAATCGAAAAAAAAAAATAATTTTCTTCACGATCGGTGAAGCGTCTCCTCGAAAGGTCGCTGTGTCCGGTTCTTCGTCTTTAATCAATAATAAAAGGGTTGACGTACGGAAGCTGAACAGGAAATTGCATCCTGGAAAGGAATTGGCATAAGTATCCGAGTGGCTACACTTGGAAACGGTCTTTAACAATTTCCGATCGTTTCTCCATGCTTGTAACCTCTTTCTCCTAACCTCTTCCTTTTCCTTAGCACGTAAAACAGTGTCGCTCGAATACGAATGAAACGTGAGCTTGACAAATCCGTGGAATTTGCCTGTCTCTCTAACCACCAGGTTCAAATGACTAACGAAAAAAAAAAAAAGAACTAGAAAAAGAAACCAGAAGATGATATTTGAGGATATCTCGATTCTCGGATTTTCAAGAATAACGATTATCATTGTTTGAAAATGTTATGTTATTTTTTTAAAATAAATAATCAGTGAAAGAACAGTTTCCGTTTCGTAAAGAAGTATTTACAAGATTCTCCTTCTTTTTTAAGTTTTAATTTAAGCAAGTACAAATGAATGGAATATAATCGATCATTTATACATGTTCGCAAGGAATCGAAGTTTTTGAACCGAGGACGGGGAAAAGGGAGACCTTTTGTTTCGTAAACAGATGTTCAGGAGCAATCTTTCACAGGACTACATCATTTTCAAACTCAATTACAGGCCAGGTATACCATCTTGTATCCATAATTCACGGAGGAACGTGTTATGATCTAGATCTGTCATGCTCGCGGCCACCATTATAATCTCGGTCTTGCCGGATAGAATTTATCACACGTTCGATCTCGAGAATCTCGAGACGCCATCGTATCTCGATGCAAGTTTTAGAAACTCGGTGAAAAGCAATCGGTGAATAATTTATGCGTTATCAGCTGTTTCATATATTCCCTTCTTTGTTTAAAAATTATAAAATAGAATCTCTTCTGGATAATATTATTTAGGAAAAGGACACTTGGAACAGTAATTAAAATCGATGCTGAAAAAAATCAATAGCGCTTTCGTCCGCTATTATTATAAGCAGTAATTTTGAAAATTTAAAGATTAAACGGATTTCACGCAATTGTGCCGATTATTATAAAACGGAAGAAAGACTAGAAAGAGAATGATTTACAATCGGTCGTAGATCCGTAACTACAATGACGGAAGTAACGGCGCTCATAGTGACGAGTATGAATAGGACATCCGGTAGAACGGACAAAACGGAAGCAGTAATTGCGGCGGCTTTTGTGTCCCCCTTTTCGTTCTTTTTATTTTTTTTTTTTTCTAGTCACCGGTCGCGCCGATAAATTTCGATTGAAAATCATTCCTTCCTGATCGTGGCGCGCCATAGAAATTTCTCTTCGAATTTCCTACCACAACCATAACCTTTCCTCCTCGTAAATCGTGTTTAATTCATTTTCGACTCGTCAATTCGATCGATGAATAAATATAATAAATAAATATGATAAATAAAAAAAATTCTCTCCTCGAATAAAATCCAAATTAAAATCGTATATATATATATATATATCCCGATATAAATTCATAATTATTCTCTTAACGCGTTCAATCGTGATGATCATTTACGACTTGGGTCACGAACAAATTCAACCACTCGACTGAAAACGACGCAGCGTGCGTTTTAATAGATATATATCCTTTAATGGCAACGCGAGTATCGCTCGATTTAAAAAGAACGTTCGATGGAACGTTTCACCTCGTTTCGTTTGAAAATATTTCTTCCTTTGAAAAATGAATTTCTTTTCTCATTAATTTTCCATACTGTTCGAATCGCAGCGAGATATAATTTTTTTTTTTCTTTTCAGATAAAGAAAAATCTTTAATCAACCGCTAATTAAACACCGATCCAAAATATATATATATATAAAATAAAATTGGGATAACAGGTGAGAAATAACAGAAATTTTGAGTTTTTTTATCGCTTCAAATTTTTCAACAATTCGCGATTGGGGAACAAATACAAATTGGAAGCTTTATTTTTCTCCCCTACTGTTTTCGATTATTTTTTCTTTTTTTTTTTTTAAATTAATGAACACCAGATAAATTAAATTTCGTTACGCGATCGTTCGCCGCGGCTCTGATATTTCGGCTAAATTGCCGCCCGTGTACACGCTGTGTTTATGCAACGGCGCGTGCACGGTGCCGGCCGACTTTTTGTCTTCATCTTCCTGTACCGAGGTCGGCTGAAAACAACGCGCACGAATGCAAAATGCTTTTTTTTTTTCTACGCTCCGTGATAAATTTAATCTTTTTCAATTCCAAGAGAAAGAAACTCCCTTTTTGAATATATATACATTGGATGTAGGGGAAAAAAAAAATGAATATATAAATTCACGAAATCAAAGTATCTTCGAATATCAAACGCTAATCCGTTCACCAAGTTTAATAGTAGCAAAAAGTGCGTCTGAAAGTGCGACTTTAATCCAATAATTCTCTTTCGAGGACACAAAGGAAGGAATTATTGTTATTAATTGATCGACCGCGCCGCTTTGAACGTATAAATCTTCTAATCCCGGATAATCCAATTCTGCTTAAATTCTACTTTTATCTATGTAGAAAATAAATAATTTTATTACTTTATGGAAAAGTAAAACGTGGCATTTATTGATAGAAAATAATTTTATTTCTTTTTCCAATACGTATAACGTGATTATGTGTACTATAATATAGTATACAAGAATGCAATGACAATAGTAATTAAACATATATATTTTAGCTTTTTAAAGAAATATGTAAGTATACATATCGACAGACTCTTTCTTTCTACGGTTTTTCGAGCGTGAATATAACAGAGGAGAGGATTGTAACAGAAGAAAGAATTTACATAGATCATTATATCTGTACTTTATCGCGTCATAGTAGACCAAGTTCATCGATGGAATAAACATTGACGTAGATAAATGAAACAGGTATAGAAAATGTAATGGAAAATAAATTTTGGTAAATTTCTATTCGAAAGATTAAGATTCGTTGCATGGAAAACGATGTTTTTAGATTCCCTGCGAGATTACAAAAGTTGTATTTTTCGATTATAAAAATCGATATATCTCGAGGAACCAAAAAAAAAAAAGAAAAGATCAGAATTACAATCTACGAGATTTCTGTTCACAAATTTTAACAACAACAGCTCAATCATCACTCTCATATACAAATAATTCCCCCCGAAGGGGATGAATAACAATGACAAACAGAGCGTTCCAGAGTTTTGCCCCCTGTTTTCGTGCCAGCCTGTTGCGTGTCCACGAGGAGGCCAAGTGTGTGACAAGGTGGTCAAAGGGTTGCGCACGTGTTCGAGAAGTAAGCCGTGGTGGTGTCACGGCACGCTGGACTTCTCCCCCTTTACCTTTTGACTGTTGCACTGTCGAGGGATCGCCCCCGAGGGTGAAACGAATCGACGCAGCTGCGCCGTCCACGCTGATAATTATCTCCGTTCGCCACCACCCTATTGTTTCTTGAACAACCGCCTCCCCATAACCCGACTCTTGTGTGCTTCCTTTTTCAGGGCCCGCGGCTCCTCCTACGCAGCTGCCTTCCCAAGAAGATGTGTGAGAACAAGAGGATACCGTTTCGTCTCGCAACAAGATTAAGAGTTAATTTTTGAAAAATCTGCGCCAAGAAGAAGAAGAAGAAGAAGAGGAGGAGTCTCGCGACTTGATATGATCATAGGGAGGATTTTTCTAATCAAATCTACCGTTTCCTCTTTTTTTTTAAACGTGCAATGGGATGAAAAGACGTATTAGAAAGTTTTTAAAATTTTTGTATTAAAGAAGAAGAAGATTTTCTCGATGGGGAAGAGAACGAGTTAAATTGTTTGATAAATAAAATTTTTCCTCGATTGCAGGAGGACTTGGTCTGTGAGCTTACTTTATGATGTGAAAGAAGAAAAAAAAAAAAATAGGGGGAGAAAAAAAGAGGATCAGCCACGTTTCCGGCGGCTCTTTTCACGGTGCTACGGAAAAAAAAATGGGAACGCGGTTCTCTTTGGAGAGGTGTTTTCGTGCGCAACGCCTCTTTGGAGAAAATTTTCAAAGAAACGCGTTGAATTTGCTTATAAGAACAGGAGGGAAAAAAAAAAAATACACGTCGACGTAGTACATTTATACAAGTATAAATTCACTTGAACCGGATGAATTTCGGTTATTGTAATTTAAACGAAACGTTCGATGTGAAAAACGAGAAAATGCGGTGTTTTTATTTATGTATTTCGTGAAATTTCGTTCTAACCGATGAACAAATAAACAATTCGGGAGGTGAAACAAACAAAGCTCTCGCCAAACGAATTACTCTTCCCGGAAGGAAGAAAATAGGTGGAGGAGAAACAAGATGCGCAACAAAATGACTTAAAATGACTCGAGAAGATTCCACGAGCCGAGCGTTGGTTGGTTGGAAAAAGAAAAATTGTTGGAAAACGAAGAAAGGGAAGTTGTGAGCTTGAAAACCTTAAATTGCATTTGATGCATTTGGGCTGACGACTTTGAAAAGTTGCTTTTGCAAATCGTTCGAGCGTGCGGCTGCTAACGAGCCGGCCGAAATTAATGAGCAACGACTACCTGCTAAGTTGGTGACGGTTTAGAAAAATATATGATAACACGTTGTTTCATTCGCTTGTCGAAAAGATACGTTGTATAATAAATAATACGAAAAAGTTTAAAAAAAGAAGATCTCGAAATATATCAACTGCTTTTGAAAAATTCGTAATCTACAATCGCCAGTTGGTTTCTTGGTACGTTGTCGGTAAGTTATTCAGTTCACTAGGGTATTTTGTGGTTTATGAGATTCATTAGCATACCATGGGAATCGTCGACTCCACCGATCTCGATTTCCACGACCCTTGTTTGCGACCTCCGCCTATATCGACTTACAAGCGGCTGTACTTTGCCATATTTATTTACGGTGAAATGTAAAACAGTAAGGTTACGTATCTCGAAGAAAATTGTCTTCGTTTATTCTATCGATCAAATTCAAGAATTATCTAAATTTATTCCACTTCCATCTTTAGATCGAGGAAAAACGCAGATTTAACGTTTAATTTAATCGAAACGAATAAAACGCAAGATTCGTATTGATCGATATTTTTAAATAGTTTTTTGTGTCACGTAGCTTCTTTCTCCGATTGACCGTTTCTTCTTAGAACGGGAGCGTTTAATTTTAGTTCCAAAGCGCCCCGGCGCGAGGGGAATTGAAATTGCCGCGGAAACTAATGTTCTCCACTACGCCCGGCAGGCCTCGATTCATTAATTTTTGCGCAAACATACGCATAACACATGGCTGCGCGCGCACATTTCTGCCGCACACAACGGAATTCCCAGCGACCTCTGGGACAAGCTTTGCCGGTTCGCCACGCTACGATAAACACTGCGGACGATAAATGCTGCATATGCTTCGATTACGATCGAAATCATTACTATTGTTTTATTACGAGTTGTCTCTTTACGCGCGATTATCGATAAAATCTGTCCCGTCTCTTTTGCGTCCCCTTCTGGATAATTGAAATCGAGGATCCCTTCGCTTGCGATTATTTTAATTTGAAATACGAGTCGTACTTTCGAGCGTACAAGAATAGAGGATTACATCGAACGGTATATTATTCATAAAGTGATCGTTACGAGAAAAAATTACTTCTAAAATCTGGATATACTTCGAAAACCTTTTCGTCTTCGTAAAACGCAAACTTCAATTACGGCTATCTAAAAAAAAAAATCGCAAAAAAAAGAGTGTATACTTCTCCTAGAGAATACCTACTTTAAAAAAGTTTCTCGCTAACAATGATCTGCACTTCGAGTCTGCGTTCGAAAAGAAGGAAAAGAGAGAGAAAAAGAAAAAAATATAAAAAAAAATCAGGAGAAAACGGATCGAGCGATTCTAAATATTTCATTTTTATTTTTACTCAGTCACAGCGCATACATAATCCCTCGGGCGTTTCGATTTCTCTCGAACGCTACTTCGACACGAATTTTTTCTTTTTATCGCACTCGATGATCCCTCCGCCGTTGGATAATCGGTTTCTCGGAGGGCGCAGCACACGTTACGGTAACTTTCGACGTTAGCGATGCGCTTTGTGCATAGGCACGAGGTAAAATTTGCTGAATATTCCATGATACTTCCTCGCGAGGATGGGGCTGTCGTGAAAGGCGACCCATTTATGGCGCCAAGCAGGAATGCACGTGCGTGCGTGAAACTGGGCCTCGACGCTTGGGACGCCGCGTTGGGATTTTCGAACAGAAACGGACGTGTGTAACTTTTATCTCGTGAATTGTGAACGAGTCTTGTGTGATCAAGCCGAAAATACACAGAGAGGAGGTAAGTTGTCGTATCGGAGTTCATCCATCATACTTTCTTCCTTTCCCATCTCTTCTCTCTTCTTTCAGTTTTTGGCCGAGTTTAATAATAGAACTTGTTGGGGCAGCGTGTTTACGAAAGAGCAGGGATAGGAAATTTGAGGGAAAAGTTGATTCCGTATCTATATTTTATGACTTTTATCTAACATGGATTATAATTTATCGGGAGAATAATAGGTTTTACGAGGAGAATACTCGACTCGGATTAACAGAATCGATGAAACGATAAAACTGGGTCAAAAAGTTACATTATAACTCTTGAAACATCAATTTCCTTTTATCCGTGAAACGTTGCGCGAAACATTGTGCTTGATAGCAGTAGCGATAATTAATTAAAACGGATAAAAACAACGTGATATATTTTTTTTTATTCGAAACAAGTTCTCTCCACATTTTTTTCAAACAATTTTTCATAACAAATTTAAAATAAAGATCGTAATTGCATATATTATATATCGATAAATTTTAAACGCAACTTTTCGAGGATTACGAAATCCCAACTTAACATTTGCTCGAAGTTCGTGAATTTTTGGAACGAGTTAATGGTTTCGAACTTTTAACCGTTGCTGCACACCATTAGTGCCGAAAGAATTAATCATCTTCTCAAGAAAAAAAAAAAAAACTTCGAACTCGCTAATCCACTACCAACTTCATAACGAAAAATTTCCCTGGCTATTTCTATATATACGTTCTAAAGAAACGAATTGAAAAGTTGCACTATTTTAACATCAGTGTTTATTTAACACGATCAATAATAAGAAAAAAGAGATAGGTTCCTTAATTTATTTATTATCAGTTTATTCAATTGATCGATTTAAAATAATTTCCAAGTACACACATAGTATTGATTCCTTTTCTTGATGCAAACTGGAATAGCGACAGTATTTTCCACTTTGTTAGCGCACGCGGGAACGACAGCCAACGTACGGAAGGTACATAAGAGAGGAAACGAGTTTTCTCAGCAACATCCAGCCTTTTGTCAGCTCCCACGACTTCTCGTGTCCACCGCTTCTCATCGTCGTTGATCATTCCTACTAGATTCCATTGCACTTTTCCACGGTAATTCTCCCCACTCTTCTTATCCTATTCCATTTTCTCCTCTCCTTTCTTATTTCTCTCTCTCTCTCTCTCTTAATATTTAAAAGTAAACAAATCGATTTCTTCGTAGAAATTTTATTTTTATTCCTATCCACATTTGTCCATTTGTCGCTCTTTTCGAATCATCGAATCACGTTTACGTTGATATTTTGCTCAGAAAACCCACTTCCGTGACTCACCCCTTACCACCAATATTTATCGTATAAAATATTTTTTGAAAAGAAGAAAAGTTTGCGCGAACTTACTCTTCTTTTTTCTTCTTTTTTAAAATTGGTTAAAAACGAATAAATTTTGGAGGATCCAAGCAATTGGATCGTATTGTATCGTATTACCAAACAAAATCCAAAGAAAATCCAAAAATGTGTAGTAGGGGCGGGATAGGAGGCTCATTCCTCGTTTGATCTTTCCCATCTCCTTTTGTTTCCCGCCCCAGGCGATTGTTGTTGTTGCTGTTTCCATTTTCCTTTCCCTCCTCCCCCCCCCCAAACCGAGCTTTCGCGAGCTTTCGTTAATTTCCCCGACGCGTATTTTCACCCAGGAGCGATCCACCCCTCGGCACAACCTTATCTCACTTGTACATTGACCTTTCGGCCTGAATCCTAATGCATATATGCATCGTGCTGCACACATCGCGACTCGAAATAAAGGGCCCCTCCCCCCTCCCCTTCCTGTTTCTTTCCCTCTCCTTCACCTTTCTTTCGACCCGGCTCCCCCACCCCCTCCCCCCGCCGCCGCCCGTCCTTCCGAGTATCGTTAAATACGAAACCACCGTGTGAGAGTCGATTTTTATCTATCGCCAATGATTTCGACCAGGGAGAAAATGTGTAATTAGCCCACGAGGAGAGAGGGGCAAAATTCGCAGGCATATAAGGAAAGTGTCTACCTCGCTTCCTTTCGCTTATGATAAATAAAATTATTTCCTTTATTTGGATTTATTCCTTTTTTTTTTCTTTGGTTTTGGTTTGGTTTGGTATCTGGATAAAATCGTCGTTTTACGATTTATTAATTAATCAAATTAATAAATTAATAAGTCGTAGAAGGCGGTATTAGAAGGTGTAATTAGTCACGTGCAAAATGGATTTAAAAGAAATGGAAAGAAAATTGGTAGGATAATTTTTATTTACGTAGGTTCGTGAGAGATTGGCAACAATGCGCAACGCGAAATAAAATGGTTCCTTCGAAGTCGTTAATTACGACGTAAAACGCTGCGATCCTTTTGCCTCTAATTTGCCAGCGAACGTTAAAGGAAATATCGATGATTCGAGGTGAAACGAGACAGCAACATGTTTTTATCGCGCGAAACCGATAATTTTATCCACCGACCCGGAAAAGAGAAAAGCTCCTGGGATTTGAAACGCTTGGTATCGTCGTATCTCGTCTCTTTGTTGCTTCGATCGATTTCCGTCTAAATATTTATTTATCGAGGACCAGCGGTAATTGCCGAGAATTATCGTTTCCTCCGTGGCTCGAGATCGCCGTGGTGGCGATCTTTACGCAATTCATCCTGTTTCGATCGTAAATATGTAAAGTGTTACGGTATGTATATACGAAATAAAACTGTTTCGAATAATTTTCGATATTAAGATAACATCTTAATTCTCTTCGATACACGAACGCAATAGTAAGAAAATATTAATGGATATAAGTAAAAATTAATGATCAATGTAAGTCGTAACTCAAGATTAAATTAGGTTATGTTATAGGAAAGACACAAAATTTATAAAAAAGAGAATATTAAGTTTAAGATCTATATTATCATATAGATCTTGAGGAGAATATATAACATAGTTTTCGTAATATTATAACAAATATAAAAACATAAATTCTTTAAAATCTCAAAAGAGAAATAAAATAAATCTATATTTAAGTACATTTGATCTCTAAATGTTTCTTTACCTCGAGAAGAGCAGTTAGCAAGCAAACTCCAAACATGGCAACAATTAATCTTCGAGTAGAAAGCATTTTTCTCCTCTGCTTATCGTTCCCTCTCGATACGTTTTACGTCGAAGTTGAGATATTAGCCAACAGTCGCTTACAGCATCCGATGCGATTGCTTGCAGGTGCACATCGATCACAAACACCGAATCGAGAGTTCCGTTCTATTTTCGAATGAGACGATTAAAATCCGATTTCCACGGTCCACGACCCGGCTATGCGATTATATGTTTTATCGATCGTAACAAGCTTAGTTTTCGGCTGGATTGAAGTCTCACAATCGATCGTACGATTCGTTGGATCGAAACTGCGATACGATATACGTACTAACGAACTAAATTTTCACAAATTATTTATATTAAAATGATTTAATTAAAATTAAAAGTTCATGAATTCTTTTGAAGAATTTAAGAATAATGATTGATGTTATTATTCCTTGTTTTTAACGAATAAAGATTCGCACTTTAAAACTTTAAGACTTCACGAACCAAGGATCCGACTTCGACGGAGGCTGAGCGTGAATTGAGGGAACAGCAACAGTGCAGCTGTTATTGTTGAACACGCGCTCGATCACGTGGCTGCCTCCCACCATCACATTTCGGCATCGTAGGGATATACAACTTAAACGGTTGGTTAAATTAATATTAATATTCATAATTAAGTAAATTAAAAAAATCACTTTTTAAGAGAAATTTATATCTATGTATTAATAATAAGATTGTTGTCAAAAAATGAAAATGAAAACAAATTGTTTATATATATATAAATATTGTCATTTTGATTTATGAAAATTATGAAAAATAAAGGTTAAAAGGGGTATCTTAAGAAGATACTTTAAATGAAGAATAAAGCAAACAGAATGAGGCAGAAATTAGAAGATTCTGGAATGATTAATTTCAAAATAAGAGAGAAATTAATATTTTATATAGAGAGAACTTGAAAATGAATATAATAATTTAAATTGACACACAACAATAGAACTCGATCCTATACAAATAATTTAAATTTTGTTATGTTAATACGAGTTTAAAATTAATTATGCTGCAAAACGTATTCAAAACTTTGAAGCCACGTTGAAAAGTTTCCAAGTAATTAAACGTGAAATTTGAAACCTACCTGCACGTTCCACAACTTCGCAAAAAATACCGGATTTTTGAAGAGGTGTTTCGGATATTTGATGCTGCCACGCGCCTGTAATAAGTTTTGTGTCATGTGTACGTAATATCCTATATGTAAGAATATATCCTATTCTGTCATTTATGCAATATTTTTATATTATCTATACATTTTATTATTATTGATCAGGGTATTGTTATTTTCGACATTATTCAGACTTTAACAAGCATTAAAAACTAGCACCAAAAAAATAGAAAAAATATGCATTATAACAAATTAAATGGATTTTAACAATGAAAAATAAAATTTATAGGTTATTGGGTATAATAATAAATGTAACTTTTTTATTTATATTTCTTTACTTATTTTTCTTCCTATTTTAAATAGATACCCTTATTTGTCGATGATCATTGAAATTATTATCATAAAAGGAAAAAACTAATTCAATATTTTCGATCGACATACGGATTTTTCTAAAATCGATCAACGATGATCAATTCCTTGGACGCATATAGGTTAGAAAACAATATGTATTAGGCTCACTCGACCGTTTAACGACGAAATACAATCTACATAGAAAATATGTGGACTAGCAGAGTGGTCGAAAGATTGAAAAATCTGTGGATTGTGGTGGTAGGCAGGCGGTGAAGAAATTTGAGAACGAAACGCGCACGGTCCAAAACGCGGACGATAGAAAGTAAATTCGTTCTGATCTGTATTATCGTCATCTCGAGCAAAGACGATCAGTTACCTCAGCTGCGGCAGCAGCTGACAAACCTTCTGCCGTGGCAGCTTCGTTGTGAATATCCACCGGTGGATATTTTCTGGTGGACAGGTGCTTGCAATCTGCTCGTACGACAGCCGGCGTTCGTGACGATTCTTGCGTAGCAACAAATGAATCGAATTATTTAATATCTGACAAATATATTAATCCTTTAAAAAGTCATTAGATATTCTTTAAAGTAACGTAGATTAATAGTAAATTTCGTCTATGATATAACATCTTCGTAAAGTATAAAAACTTGGAAAATCTTATTCGAAATTTTCAACGTTGATCGAAAATCGATGAATAATGACATTCATTTAATGAATTAGTCAAGTGCTAATGATAATTAAAAAAAAAAAAAAATGAAAAAAAAAGCTAATAAAACAATAGTAACAAAAGATCTAGTCCAGGTGTTGATTCTATGATCTATGATCTCTGACTGTTTTCCATGCATAAATAACAGGTATATTGAATGTATTACATGATTATATAAAACGATTCGTATTATATCATAATTATCTATTATTGGAATGAATCGAGATATCGCTTCATTTCATCTCGAGATATTGTTAATCGAAATATGGATTTAAATATTTATTATTGAACATCGAAACAAAAATGATTTTTCACAATAGAATAAAAAAATACGAATTTGGTCTTTTTTTCTTTGTGAATGGTACCATAATGATTATATAAATTAATATTTTGACTCAATGAGTCATAGTCGTTTTAATTTATAATTAAGGCCCCAGGCTAATTGTGCATTCGAGCACAGACCAGTTCTGTACCTGCAATATCAAAATAATTAATGATCCTTTGTATTGCACCTTCGTGCATATACTGAATTTTATTTGTATCATAAGTATCTTGTCGATAATATGTGTGAATCATGATAATTTTATATATCATTTGTTTTTTGATTTCAGACAAATAAATAGAAAATTTTTTTATATTATACTTTGAAAACTTTTAAAATTATTTTTCTCCTTCTCAACGTTTTAAATTTGAACGTTTCAAAATAGAAAAATTGCAATGTTGATATGAATTGAAATTCAATTTCAATATAAAATTAAGAATAAGAAATGAAAATATTCTATTACAGAATATATTCTATGATATTCTATAATATTTACTTACATATGTATTTTATATATGATTGAATGGTGCTTCTCAAAATATTTCTATATCTAGGATATATTATATTTTGCAAGATACATTGTAAAATAGAAACTATGAAAATATAACATCTATTTTTTACATTAATGATTAGAACACATTATAGTTTTGACACATAAAATGAAAATGTATTCAATTAATTAAAATCATGAGCCAAGGATAGATATAGAAGAGGGGAATAAACAGAATATGAAATAGACAGAGATAGAGTAGAAATTAAGAAATCAACGTCATATCTAAAGTGCTACAAATGAAACAAAAAAAGAATAGCAAATAAAGGATAGAAATAGGATAAAACCACCAGCGCCATCTCTTGATATCTTTCCGAAAATAATTCTATAAGCAATAGATTGAGATTGATTTTTTGAATAATGATTAATATTTTTATATTTTTTGGACTTTTTATGTTATTAATTTTTAATTTATAATCGTAAAAAAAATATTTAAAATATTCCAATTGTTTTATGTACATTTAAATAATAAAAAATTACCTATAGTAGAATACAGGTGACTTATCGTTCATAGATAATGATTCAACAGCTGTTTTTTATCCATTCCATTTTATCCTTCCATTTTTATTTATAATATTGATGAAATATATTAATATTTCACAAATAAAATTGCAAAGTTATTACACATACTAATGAATATAGTTAAAACATTTACAAAACGTACGTATATACTTTATATATAATAAAATTCGTGTACGAATTTAAATTATATATGAAATTGAACTCGAGTAATCTAAACGACATCACGGTCGCAACGGAACTAAACTTTTGTAGTTTATTCTCACTCGGTAACTTTCGCTCAGTAGAGAAGGTCGAGCGTAGCAACAAACTATTTAAAAGTACTAGATGATTTTAGTAAACTTCAAACGAATATTTTAAAATATAATATATTTAAATTTTATAATTTTCAATATTCTATTAATATTTTGTTAATTAACTTTATAACTTATTTATTTAATAGTCGTATAATGATTTTTGATATTACGATTTATTAAATTTATTAACTTTATACAAATTTTTTATTTATAATATGATTTATTAAATTTATTATTTTTTAAAAAATGTATTATTTTCAATTTTAAAATCATACTAGAAATATTATACTTTTTATATAGTAGTAGAGAATGATAATAGCTATTAAATTATGTTATTATATATTTTTTATCTTGTTGTCTAATTAACTTCTTGAATACGTAACAACAATTAACATATTTTTATTTGTTTAGAACCACAAATCATCCAACAAAAATATACGATATATACGATAATATTTTGCAATTTATTTGCAACTTCATATTAAAATTTGATTTCAATTTCAAATATTAATTATAGTTTTGCAGTACTGCAATTACAGTACGAAATATTACGATAAATCGATAACGTTAAAAATAATACTAAAGTGGTAAGAGGGCTCTGGTGTCTGTTAAGCATGAGATATGAAAATACAATGGATGTTAAATCTATTTTATACCTTGTCTATGCTGTCTATTTTACACTTTATGAATGTTTCTATATGACAGATACTGCCATCTACGTGCATTTTATCGGTAGTTATCGTTTAGCCACAGATGAATTCGTTTAGAATTTAATTTTTAAATTTATCAATAAAATTAATTTTAAATAAGAATTATAAATTTATAGCAAAAATGAAACGGTAAGAAAATTTATTATAAGAAAAACATGATATTTATGAGTGTCAAAATTATTCGATTTTATAAATAAAGAATGATACATGAAAAAATGTTATGTTACCGACTTGAAATAGTTTATCATCTGTCTATTACATACTCAATGCCTTTGTTAGAATCATTTGTAAGTTCATACGCGCGGTAGGTACTACCCTCTGCTGTCAGGTATTAAAACGGGGGTGTGAGAGTGAGCTGTTTCTCGACGTCGGCTGATCAGCTGTGCGATTTGAGGTGGATTTTCCCCTTGTGGTGTGGTGTCGTGCACATTCAGAGTCTTACGCTCGATCGGCATAGATCTGTGAGATCACGTAACAAGCATAGAATTCGAGCCGTGGCATAAATACAGCAACGATAGTACGCGGTGGCGGCGATAAATCGGTAGTATTTTCTTGTGAAGGGGGCCAAGTGAGGCATGACGGGAACAGGTGACAATAGAGCTTCGCCATGTTAGATTTTACGAGATCGCGAAACGTGCGCCGCTGCTGCTGCTGGTGCTAGTGGAGAGAGAGAGAATTTATTTTGTTTTCTCGACTCTCGTGCTACTTTCCTCAGCGGTGATCCAACTGAAAATCATCCAAGCTGGATAGGTTACCCGAGTATCTCCGCGATACCGTGGACTGGTTTATGGGGTAAGTGTTTTCGAGTGAAATTTTCACTTTCGGCAACAATTTTCTCGACAATAAGAATTACCGGAGTCACGGAATAAAGGTTAACCTCGATGTTCGGCCTAACCTCCCCGTCGAGATTGACGCTCTTTCGCTCC